TTATTTAATCTCCTCAGTCGTAACGGTTTTTTTTTCCACGTTATCTAAATGATATATTTCTGCTCATTGTAAAATTCACTTTCAGCATTAAAATCCTCTAGATTTAGTCGAATAGTTTAACACTGTTTAACTTCAATCGTTTCGTTAAATCTAACTAAAATTGTAAGAATATACAATGGATTGTGATCCTTACTGCAACATCATACTTAAATGGAATAATTTTACGAATAATTTAAGGTATTACCAAAATCCTGATATGATATTATATAAAGACTAATAAAATCTATAAATTCCAAATAGTCAAGTAATTATCTATAGATATAATTGTATTATTAAATAATAATAATAAAAGTTAATATAAGAGTTGCCTATAATAAGTAGGTACCTATAAAATATTTTGTATGTTACATGAAGCGAATGTCCAAATTATTATGATAAATTGAAGTTGATAATTTCGCGAAATACTTTCGTATTTCACACGATGTGTAAAATTTTAAAAATTAATCCAATTTTGAGTAGTAACCTATATGTATATTATTTCGCCTTAAACGGTATAAAGTTAAATATTTTTGAGCAACAATTTTGGTTTTGAATCGAAGCCGTGAAAAAATACACCTCTTAATATTTTTCTAATAAAAGACCAATTTTTAATAAACTTTATGTCTATTTTACGAATATTATTTGGTAAGGGTTGATTATTAAATTCTGATAACACGGATGAAAAAAACAACAATTAAACTTTGGTAGAGTAAAACATATCGTAAACTACAATGCATATTAGAAGCCGAGATAGACTGTTTAATAAATTAATCTCGAGAACATAAAAAGATTTCTTCGAAAACGCGGTTTGTATGGTTTAAGAAAACGAATTTAAAAGATGATATTTTCTCATAAATAATTCGAATAAATTTACTGGTGAACAACTTTATAACTGGACTTTACATACTGAATATAGTCTACCGCATAGAGGTGCCAACAAAGTTGAAAGCGTATTGTTGTGTGACTTTGAAACCGTATTTCATTCACGTTTATACACTTTTCGTTTGCACTCAGAGCGCAGCTCGTGCCGCGTCACCAGCTTGAGCGCAAAACATGACACGATTATCATCGTCGCTCGTCACGAGACCCGGTGCGAACACGGTCGGTAGCATTATATAGCCGCAACCCCGAAATCCGTCTGGTTCAAAATTCAGCAAAAGGTTCTTATTTCAGACGGTATACGTGCAGTGGCAAATGTCTGAGACTGAGTAGCATAAAAGCAAAGAAATATCCCGGAGCCGTCACGGTACACTGCGGATCTCCGTTTACCGGTTCATCCAGCGAATACAGTTTATCCATTATGTATACTTCATGACGCGACTAAATCAAACATTAGACATGTGCTGCAATGTGTAAGTATAAAGAATAAATGCATAGCAACATCCGTTGTGCAACTGCGTGTTAATAATGCTATGCTCTATTATACACTAAGAAACAATGCTATAATCTAACCTAAGTATATATATACTATATATTATCCCAATATTACCTCATAATACCCCAAGATCACCTCAAATAAAATTATTAATTGTTTTTTTTTTTTTTTAAAAAAAATAAGTTTGATTTTAAATGGCCATAAGTTATTACGGATTTTTAACAAAAATACGAGTACGAGTATAATAATAATAACGTGTTATCATACGAACTTCAACGTTCTGAACTTAAATAATATACATGTTATTTCTTCTAATTTTTTTCTTTTTTTTCGCGACACTCTATGAAGTGTTGATAGCCCTTACTACGACCCATTCCATCAAACTTACGGTCCAGCATATACTCATGCTATTCAGGTTTCACTGAATTTATTTTTAAAATATGAAACATGTAAAAGATTCAAACCTATAGTAGTGAGGATTTTAACTTATTGAAATGTGCGCCAGTTACAAAATATGGTAACTCAACAATTACTTAATTATAAACACTTTATTTTTACTACTTAAATATAAAAACTTCTATTTATATTGCATCTATCAGAAAAAATGTATAAAGATAGTTGCACACAAAAAAAAAATTTGACTGCAAAAATCAAACCAAGTTTAATTAATTCCAATGTCCATTCACAGACGCTGAGAATGGCTGTTTTAAAGTTTCAAACACCTGTGATTCATTAGTAAAAATAAAAAATTCGCTACACGAAAAATAATTAATCGCTTCCAGTATTGACTTTAGCTTGTGTAGCTGATGAATGAAACTTGAAAAAGAAATAATTGATCAACAATATATTTAATCATTGATTTGTACCAATCAATCGAGTACATCGGACCACGGGCAATACCCGTGACAGCTCGATTGGGAGGTGAAATCGTTGTGACTGGCACTTTTCTTTTCCACAGATCTCACGCACAATCGACATCCTTTTCAAATAGTGTATAAAAGATGATTTGTCTTGCGAACATAAGTTAATATTTTTCGTAGATTATTTCTGTGTAGAACCGAATCCTAAGAAAATAATACATACCTCTTTAAGTCACATATATATATTATATCGTACCGAAAGAGAAGAAAATAATGATGCGAAAGAGAGAGAGAGAGAGAAAAATAAAAAGCCGAAATAGCCGCAGTGAAGTGAATGATGATGAAAATTTGCACGGAAAGCATGTGAAAAAATAGAAAGAAAATGTGTGAGAAAAGCGTCTTAGGGTTTGCGACACTGAAGACAAGGCGTGGTCGAAAAATAAGTATATATATATATAAAAAAAATAAAGAAATATACAATATAAAGAAGAAGAAAAAAACTTGTCGTAGGAGACTTTATCGGCAGCAGAGTTTGAACTCTGTCAGAAGGGTGGAAACGTATTGATAACTAATCGTCGTCAACGGTTGTAATAGTTGCAGGTTTACGGTGGCGGCGATTTCTGCGGAGAGCTGTACACAGTATAGTATCGCAGCGTGTGCACACCGACCTATGTCGACCCCTTTCGGCACCAAAATCCCATTAATCATTTCTTAACATTCCGCACATGACATTTTGATAAGCAACAATAGTTTTATATAATATATACTCGTACTTATTACTCGTTTATATACGTACACAATTTATATTATTATTATTATATTATTTATATTTATATACATGCACAACAATGTACGTTAAATGTACACTATAATGTACATGTAATATTTTGTGCGTATACATTAGAAACCAATAACCTAGCACCGTCATAGCAATATATTATTTTACACTCGATCGTGCGTGCATATTATAATACACCTATAAATAACTAATTCTTGAGACTATTCATCACGTATCCGTCCACGCGTCGCTGCAGTCGACTCGCGGGCCTATCTATTTTCTTATTCGCAGTTCTCCAGCCCGGCATGTCGAGCCCTGTGTCGTAGTTCCGTGATTATCACTTGATCGTAAATCGTTTGTTTAGTTTGCGCTGGAGGCGCAGTAAACGACGAATTATAATGAAATGTACGCACGTTGTGTGCACAGGATGTGTGCGCAGGATGGCCAACTTGCAGCGATCGTCAGTAAGCGGTTGCACGTTCCTGAAATAAGTGAAAAAAATTATTTACTCGTGTAAAAAATCACTTTATTCTATTTGGATTTTTTTAAACGAAAATCAGATTAAACTGTAAAAGTGTATATCGTTGATGATTATAACGATAGTAATAATAGTAATAAAAACGGTACAATGAATAATTATTTGATTTTTAATTTATTATAAAACATTGCGCTAAAGAATTTTTCTGACTAATGGGAATATTTTTATTTATTTTTTATTTTTTTTTTTTTTTTTTTTGCTCTTTTATACATATAATCGGTGCTGTGTGCAAGGTTCGTTCTCTTTGCTAGCCATCAGTGTTTGATTTTTCTGTGATGCATTTGTGGAGAACCTACTCAGAAAGACTTCAAACGCGCATAAAATATAATATTAATTTAAAAAATAATTTAATTATGATTTATTAATTCAAACGTTCAAAATATATTTTTATTATTCGTGCAAATATTATACAATAAAATACTTTATAATTTTCAAAATTTATTAAACTTTTGCCCAGCTATTGAAAAAAATGTTAAACGGAGTGATATATTGCTAGAACCGAGACAAAGAAGATTAAGGTTCATTGAAGTTCTTTCGTTTAATTTCGATTTATTTGCAGATTGTGATTGACAGTTTAAATCTTGAACAGAGAATTATTTTGGTGGTTCGGGTGGTATAATGAATTATCATGAAACCAATAAATTTACGTGTAGGTATATCATTAATTTAATGATATTCACGAGTAATAGCGATTAATTGTACTTTTTAATCTTCAAAAGATTATGCATTACGCCGACCTTCACTTCTAATCGTTTTCAACTGTTCGTCATGGAGCTTCTAAACGTAAACAATTGAACACAATATACGTCCAGATAATTGAAACCTGTATCTTAAAAACTGTTTATTTTAATGTTTTTTTTTTCTGAGACACAAAAAAGTTCTTTCACACCCTGCACTGGAAACTGGAACACTTATTATAATAATAGCTAAGTTTCATTGAATGCAAAGTTGTACTTTTAAAGTAGATCAAATAGCAGATCTAGTTGTTTAATTTAACATTATTCAGGCTCGTATGCAAGGGAGTGGTTTCTAACCCCCTCATTCAGGATCTCTTTACATACACTTTTACTAAGAGCCTACCTAGTTCTCGTTCTATACAAGTTAAACCGAGTTGAAAATGCGTACATGGTTTTTTATTTTCGTTTTAACAGTGTTGTTTTCCTCGATTTGATGCCTTTTTTGTTGAACTTCCGTGAATTTTCCACCAATCATCATAGTAAACGCAGCCATTGATGGAACGCATTTGCATTGGAGCCGGAACAAATGCAAAGGGCACCGGGCCCGTTCAAGCTCTCCCTGGCAACGTTTCCGAGGCTCATGCAGGTAAAGGTCACGCACAAACGCGTCGGCGCTGGTCGTTATTTCGGCGAGCGAGGGCGGCGAAAGGATTGCGCGTTCGGATATCGTGGTCACGCGATTCATGAGCGGCTTTCGCACGAGACTTAGGAAACCTTTGAAAACTTGATATAGCCACCGTTCCGATGCACTGTTTGTGCGCTGGCCTCATGAATATTAGTCCGGCTGTACGTGGTATGTGCTTTGCTCTCGAGTTTCGCGGCGAACCGCCGTCGTCGTCGTCGTCGTCACGGTAAACAAGACGCGAATCGCACCGGCGATATTGCAATCGTACACGTATATATGTATAAACGAATCGGTGGTGCGCGCGAAAGAGGAAAAAAAATAATCGGCGGTCGATCGTTGAATTTTTTCTATAAGATCGTTTTGCGGTTCGCTACACAAGATGGGACCGAGTGCTTCCTTGTCATTAGTCGCGTAAGCCGATTTTATTTCTATAGACACTACTGTAAGACCTATTGTGTAAATAAATTTATATTTAAATGGGTATGAATATGAAACCTCGGTGAATATTATTCATTTGCATCGAGCCAAATCGAAAACGGTGAAAACTCGGACCAGTAATGCGATGCTGAGAGGTGCGTGAATGGGTGTGATGGGAGGGGGGATACCGAAAACTGCAAATCGCAGTACACCCATGTATTAGACACGTTCGTACGTTATGTATGGTGGCTGTACCGACGACGTAATTCAACGGGACCTTATCTTTTATTCTTTGTTGCTGTTTCAGAATGTTTCATTTGGTGCGTTCGAAAGACCTTTACGAAATGGAGACCGAGTACAGCAAAAACATGCCTCCAGGTTATTTTAAAATGCTAAATTATGACAATAATACGTCGTCATTGTTTTGCCTTTGTATCGCTATATTTGTAAATATATATATATATATGTATTCTATAGTAATGATTGTAAGCCGCCGTCATGTAGTTCCGGTTTACGCCATTATTTTTGAGATGTACCACCAACGGATGTATTGTAATATAGAATTCAAATAGTCTTTATCTGTACCTATACAGGCGAGTATATTTATTATGTTAATGAATTCCGCCTCCACCCGTCCGATGTTGAATTCGCAAACGGATATTAACGCAACCTTATATGTCAGAACGGACATAAGTTTATTGCTTTTGGGTTTTTTCGAAATAATTTGTGAGAAAAAAAAAAATTTAAACAATTTCAAACAACCATTAAAATTACGTATTTTTTGTTTGTTTTTACTTTAATACAACTTTTTCAATTATATTTTTTTACGTTCTATTGTTTTTAAATTGATTGTGTAGACATATACTGGTGACGAAATTCTAAGTATATATGTGTATATATTTGAAGCGTAAGCAAGAATAAATATACATTTAACTTTTTTATTAAGGGTTTTTTTTATGTTCATGGAAATGGCATTTTTGATGTTCAAAAAAATAAGATTTAAACGCGTTTTTTCTACTGATATGATCGAATTAGGCCTCTATTATTTAATCATTACGTTTGTGTAGTCCATAGAACACGGTCGACCAATTTTAACTATAAGTCCGATTAAAATACCATTGATATTAAAATTTAAACCGTTTATCCAAATGTACGATGCAAAAATCACAAATCTTAGTCGTACGGCTGTATAAATAAGTCAAGCGTAGTTATATCATTTTGAAACATAAAAGGCTTACCAAAATTACGTTTTTCTACTTAATTAAAGATTGACTTCAAAATGTTTACAATCAATTGTGAGTACTTGCTGTTCATAATACCAATGTTTAAAGTATATGTAATATTATTACAGTATATTATAATATAATTAAAACGATTTATTATTTAAAAAATATATGCCATTGATAGTACCTAATTGTTTCGACCTAGTGCGCAAGTCGGTTGTCACAATAATGTTTTTTCTTTTTTCAACTCATTCCCTTGTTCAATTTTTTGTGGTATGCCAACCCCTAGCCCTCCATTTCTACATAAATCCACTTTTTATATCGATCTTATTCGTTTTTAATAATGGATATATTAAAATTAAAATATTAATTAATTACTGAAAATCAAACTTGAAGTTTTTCAAGAATAACCGTTCTATACAATATTTTCTTTACAACCAGACGAATGATCGACAATTGCGTTGCATTTTTTAATATTAAAAATTCCCATATTTCACCCATATTTCTAGCTTATACCAAGTACAAAAATAACATAATCTGTTTAAATAAAATGTCTGTAATATAATACTCAAAATGCTAATTGCTTACGATCTATTTAAAAATGTGAATGAGTCGTTTTCAATTAAGATATATTTTGTAAATAGTACATTTATATTAACCTTATTCTGTGTATACAATATATAAGTATATGTACTCTGTACGTGTGACTTAAAAGCAGAATTAGTTTTAGTCCCAAAATCCATTTACGGCAAGAAAGTTTTTTTTTATCATCCACGTAAGTTGGGATTCGTACTTTATTATGTGCATAAATTGAGGTCCATTTTTTTTACTATATATATATATATATATAACACTACCCTTCAGATGCGCATATATAATCGAGACAATCTCTAGCCATGATCATATAGATGCAAATGATAGCTAACTAAATCCTTTTTTTAGTTTCACATTCATTTGAGGATTTCTCTATTTCTGGTCGTATTCCATGCGTCGAAATATATTTATTGCTAAATCAGTTAATTAGTGGAACTTATATGTATATAAATATGTATATTTTTTTTTAAGATTGATCGCACTAGACAGCAATAGTTAAAATGATGTGTCCTTAACTCGAACTTTCGAAGGTAATGAATAAATAATTATAAAACGTGAATACAAGCAACAAGACTTATATTGTTGATCACAATCAAAATATTCAGCGATTCACGTGCCACCATGCACCTGTACATTTTTCTTATAAATCCTTTCAGCAGAAGTAAAATAAAAATAACCCGTGTGATTTTTTAGACGAGAGACGCGCTCTTTGTTTTAGTCAAGTTGTTATATTTTTAATTTGAATTCGTGTTTGGTTTTTTATATACTTTCACTTACATTTTAAAGGAAGACTGAGTCATAAACCACTAAGTATAAAATTATTTCTCTGTTTTTACATCTCTTATCTAAACCATAAATACTTATGAATAATAAACTATTGGTTTAAAGTTTATACACAAACATTTTTAGTGAAATATTCAACTTTCAAATATAAAATTATTTATGAAGTTGTAATTTAAAAAGACTATAAAATGTATTGAATTCAGGAAAAATTTAAAATTTAATTTAAATAAATATTTTATTGTGATTTATAATTATTTTTAATTAAACAAAAATAGACATAAAATTTACTATAAAAACTAGTGTATTTCATTAAAAAACTTCATGTTTATAACCCTAGTATATATAAATTATTTTAGTGAATATATTTATTTCATAGAATAAATGAACTTCATGAATATTAATTACAATTAACGGAATGGAATAATGTATATCTAGTTACAAGTATACATATTAGTTATTATATTATTCATCATTGTTCCGAAGAATATTCACAAATCATCTATTGGAAGTTCTTTTAATTATTATTATGATCAAACTAATTATGTTTTATAATATCAGTGATGTTTTGTTTCATTAAATGATGTGTTAACGTTTCAGTAGATTCGTCTCAATGACGACGAGATATAAAATGGTTACGTAAAGTATTTATTAAAATATTATTTGTCTTATATTATTTTCAAAATGAATATTTAGATAATTTCATTTCACGGCAAAATACATAATCAACCTTTAGAAATTTACGTTAAAATGAAATGTTTCAAAAAATTAGCATAAGACCAACTAGTATATAATATATAAAAAAAGGAAAATATTTTAATTTTAACGACATTAATTTTAAAGTTTTAAATTAAAATAAAGTTTGCTATTGTTTTAATTAATAATTGGCGTTGATAAAATTATACTTGATACGCTGAATAGTATAGCTAATGTACTATCATTCTTCAGCTGCATACAAAAAAATAACAGTACCAAAACTTTTAAAATTGAAATCATTAATTTATGAGTGAAGTACTGGTTGTTATACTATTAAATTTGAAAGAAGTGCAAGCCTCGGATCATCTACAGTGCTTTTTAAAAGTGCTAATGGCCCTCTTAAATTCTATCAGGACTATATACAAGGATTTCCGAGTGCGACATATGATGAATATTGCCAATTCACAAATCTTTTGGATGAACTGTTGATTATTGTTAGAGGCTCCTTTTAGGTGATTTTAATAAAAAAAGTTGGGCGAATGGGTTTAACATATTGATTACTTGCTTTTCCATCCATTAGGATAGAACGACAACTACAGCCGATCATATTACAACAACCACCATTACAAAAAACGGCATATCTGTGTCGGGCCGTACCTGATCACGGTATTACTAAATAAATAATAATTATAAAAATGAAGGTTCTACAAGATTCAACTAAATTGTTTCTATCGGTTATTTAGATTAGAGATTGTTAGCAGTTTATATTTTTAACAAGACGAGACCTTTAAAAGTATATACCTTAGCTATAGAAAAAGAAAATAATCGATGCTCAGCAATTTCCTCCCGTCCACTTTAATCGTCTCAGTTGACGTGCAAACATGTATATTCTTTAGATTATCTTTTTATCAGGTATCCATGAAAATATTTTAAAGGGACTTGTTCAAACTTAACGCACAGCGTTATTCGACTTTTCAAAAAAACAACATTTTTAATGGTATAACTTATAAGTTTTGCTGTACATGCGAAACAAGAATAAGTGTTCTCTGACAGTTTAGGATAATTTTGTTAGAATAATATATTTAAACTTAAATCATGTTTTTTTTCTTATGACATTTAAAATTACTATAGTAAACTTGTTATTTTTGCAACGTGGTATTATATAATATTCTATGTTTACAGTATCCAATCATGTACGGCCTTAATTTGATTCATTCATTTATGTTCTTAAATTTTATAAAAGTCGCGTTACAAATAATAGTCGTCAACATCGAATAGATTTTCAGTGTGTGAAGATTTAACGTGTCTAATAAATGATAAATGATTTCCAATTCATGTATAACAATTTTAATAGTCTATTCGTTTGTTCGATGTTTTCGTGAACACTGCGGATTGATAATTGTATTATAATATACAAATGCTCAAAGTTTATTTCAATGAATACAATAGCCTACCGTGCGATAACGTATTTTCATTTTCGTATTTACCTGTGTATAGTAGTAATCATATACAATACGATGTCAGTGGCTGCCAGATATTGCGCGTTGTTCCCAAAAATATGTTAATCAATTTTCTCTACTGAATTCGTCGTGACTCCTGCAGTTTCGTCTTTTCATTCTCTTCTGACCTTTTCATCTTATTTCCAAGATGACATCTCATATTGTGTAGGTATATATATATATTATTATTATTGTATTTGTGCTCAAATATCTTGTAATTGAATTATAATAATACAATATTCTCGTTATAATATAACTTAATATATTCATTATTCTCCATCGGTATACGATCGGTATACTTTGCACATACATCACCATTTATATTTTTTATTAATATAAATTAATTGTTATGTATATATCTCCCGTGTAAGAATACGTTGCTAGTTTCTAAAATATTCATCATTGGAACAATTTTATTTCGATATTGTAGTATATTCCGTTGTAATAAAGTGAAGGGATTCATTTTTTTTTTTTGTGCGTGACTTATTCTAATTAACACAGGATTGTTTGACAAAAATGCATTATAAGGTACACTAAAAAACACACATTTCAGAATAGATTAAACTATTATCAAGACTATTAATACTTAGTGTATACGCACGCAAAATGTTTTCAACAATTGACCTCCAATTTCATATTTTCAGTATGGCGTTTTCAACCAAAAAAATGTTAAGGTAATACACGAATTTTTATAATATAATAATAAGATCCTTATTATATTTTACTCTCAGTATCCAAATGCGTGTATTAAAATATTTAATTTTTTACGGTTTTTAGAGTTGAGTTTTCTGAAACGTCTAATTAATGGTCAATCTTATGTTAATTGTACTGTTTTCATTGTTTTAATTTTGTATTCCTGGAAATAATTATGCTTCCAGAGATACTCGTGTATTTAACCTTATATTAAAATATATTTTGATCATAGATTCTTTAACATTCTTTAATCTTGTATTGATAATCTTAGAATTATTAGAATTGTTTATTAATCATAGCTGATTAAATAGTTCACAACTAACCCTAAACTATGATTCATCAATCAATGCCGACCACAGAAGTATTATTTAAATTTTCTATGTATAGTAGAATATATATACATAATACACGAATTATATATTATCACCGATGCAATTTCAGTTTAAATTAAAAATACTGACTCCAATATGGGTATTAAACACATTATATGTTCAAAACCTATAATTAAGTTACGTTTTCAAAATTTTTTTTTATTTTATAATTATGAAATTGTATGTAAATGCAAACACAATAAACTTAAAAAAAATGTTGAGTAAAATCATTTAACTGATTTGAATTGGAATGAAATGGATTTTATTAAAATAAAAAACGTACATAACGCGACATTCTTTATTTTTTAAGTTTTATATAGTACATATCTGCATGTACATGTTCATATGCATATGAAAACTATAATTATAATCGAAACAATAATATGTTACAAAAACGAATAAATTAAGTTTAAAAAATCAATTTTGTGATCCGTAAATGGTGTAACGATTTAATCATAAGTTGTATAGATTATAAAACAAAAACGTAGGGGAAATTATAAAACCAAGTGGTGATACTAATTAATCTTTAGGACTCGTGGGCGAAGAATTGTCGTCGGTTCAATAAAACGAAGCCCATTTATTTTAAAAAGGACAGTTGACTAAAAACCGTATACATAACAGTATCCTTCACTAAGCTAAGGGTACGATACGATTGTTTATGTGTGTAATATGTATGCAACGCAGGTTGTTTAAACATATACAGTTTATAGCACGTATACAGGGATGAAATACGCACTTTAATCCGAAAAGAGATAAATTTAATGATTTCTCGTCAAGCGATTTCATTCATTCGGTTATGTAATTTAACCAATACGGTGACGATCTAAAATGGATTTTCAAATAATTATTATCATGATTCACGTAAATTTAATATTCGAAAATTTAGCTGATATGATGATCTTCAATTTCTTCGAAGTCCTATTGAAGAATATTTCTAAGCAATAATCAATTTATTTGCGAGATTAGTATAATTGTTTGCTCACTGCTAACAAAATCAGTGTGTTAAAAATTGCGATGCAAAAGATAGAAAAATGTAGTTTGTTGTAAAAAAAAATCTTTTATAAACTTAAAATGTACCCGAAATTTTAACAATATATTCAATAAATTTTAATAATACATTTATAAACAAATTTATCGATATCAAAACAATTAAATATAATTGTTATAATCAGGGACGCCCACAGAAATGTAGCTCAGGGGGGGGCAAAAAAAATTGTAAGTACCTAAATACTTATAGGAAGATTTACTGCTACATATTTCATTTACTCATATTTTGTATTACTATCAATAATAATTTTTTAAAAATCAAAACTCATTTAAGTTTATATAAAATTACATTATTAGTTATTAGTTTTAATATTTATAAGAAAAAATATAATAAAGTTTAAACAAAAAACAACTTTATTTGATTGAATTCGCATCATATTTTATTATTTTATTCAAAAAGTTATGACAATCTCCTTTTGTTTGAAGCAAATAAATTAATTGAATCATCATTTGTTGATTAAAAAAATGTTAGATACTTGTTAGATACAAGGATTGTCGAATAGTCACTGAATACCCAAGATCAGCTTTATGTAAAATAACTTCCAATTTTGTAAGTGACGCGAAAATCTCAGGGGGGGCAATGGCCCCCAATGGCCCCCCATCCGGGCGTCCCTGGTTATAGTCACTTATTATATATACTTTTCAAAGTTAATTTGTACTACAGTGAATAAAATGCTTACATTTGCGGTATAGTGAACAATGGTTTCATTATTTTCAATGATATTCAGCTGAAAAATGTAATAAACATAAACGAATAAAAGCCGCAACACTACAAACAAATTTGTCAATAGTATCAAGGTTTGTTCCGAGCGTAAGGATAACAGTATAGTTAATTGTAACAAGGTTAAATTGTCGAAGAAATGCGAAAAGATTTTTATTCAAAACTATCGAAACAAAATGATTGAATTTGTTTATTCGTATGTATACGTTCAAAATGAAAACCATGGCTCTTTAGTTTTTCATCTAACGATTATCAAAAATATTTTGTTAATTATTTACACAATTTTAAGACACAAATTCTCTGAGTTACGGGTAATTGAATGAATAAAATAAGCCACTTTAAAATGAGCTGTAATTATTTAATTTGCGTTCTTGCTGCATTTAAGTCAATATTACGTTAGATAGTTCAGTATTTTGAAATAATATTAAATAAATTCTAATAATTTTGTTTTTCTGTTATTTTTTTCGAGAAGTTTTTATTTACATATATATATATATATATATATGTTAGGGTGGTCCTTATTTTTAATTTTTTTCAGATTATAACCCGTTAAAAGATTCAGTTATTTATTTTAGTAATCATATAGCAAATAATACAAAAAAGTTTCAGGTGAATTCTTTAATTTTTATCCGTGTCACAAAAGCTCTAAAATTACAAAAATAGAACATCGTATACTATATAAAATACATATAATATATTATATATGATTGGCGGCATGGTTAATATACGATTTCGCGTTCTATTAGTTGCTCAAACAAAGCACAAGCTCCGTTTATATTTATAGTATAAAGTATAGAAAACAAATTATGGTAAATTTATTTTTCTATAATTTATATTCCAAAGAATTTTTCGTGACATTTTTTTTTCTTTGTGGAGTTATTTTGGATTCTAATACAAAAAATTAACGATTTTGAAAAAATTTTTAATCTTTAGACTATTTGTGGTATGTGTTAAAATTATTTGATTTGACTGAAATTTTTTTACATAGTTTTTATAAGTAATATAACTTTTTGAGTGGGTTATAGGAACAATTAAATTTTTTTTTTCATATGTTATAATGGACTACCCTAATGTTATATACAGGGTATTTTATACATTTTAAATTACAAATGTATTATTTCAAAAGTTAAAAATATTGTGGCTCAAACTCACTTTATTTTTCACCGCTACTCGAAAAACAGGTTATTAAAATAATTGTTGAGCTTTCAGAGAAGTTAATGGATGAACACAGAACAAAAAAATCCTAAATACATGTGTGTGTAGGACATAAGTAAATGGCTCATGGACATTTTGAATCAATGTTGTTCCAAACTACATTGTGATGAATTCTTACATGATGTAATTTAAGTTAATCTAATGATTAACTTAAATGTGAAAAACGTAGGTGTTACAATCGATTTAAAGCTATTTAAAAAATATTTACATTATTTGCATTGTAACGCTTTAAATCGAAGAGATTGCTGCGAAATGATGGCGGTAATAATAATTATGGTTTAATGTTTTTTATCTTCATCTATTTCTTTCTAAATCTGTCTTTCATGCCCGGCGTATCCATAGCTAATCACGTCAACACCTACGTCTTATTAGAGGGTCACATTGTGAATAGAAGTATGAATAAATGAATGTAACGGGTTATCGAACCCAATCAATCAGAGTTTAAACGTGTCTGAGAAAATGTTGTGTACAAAAAAATATGATCGATTATACACATGCTAATTGCTTTGTGTTTAAAAAGTTCAAAAACGTTTCCAAACATTTTCAAAACAATCTGAACAAGAGTCTCAACGAAATGTTATGATACATGCGATACATGCATTTTCAACGTGTAATTTTTTTCAAAACCTAAAATATTTGTTTTTATTTTATTGTTTGTATTACTTTCTTCTTTTTTCTGTAGGCAAAGACGTAGACGTATCCTTGTCCCTACACATAAATCGAATATCCGGTGTCGACGAAAGTAAAGAGGTAATAATACACAAAGACCTATTTAATATATATGTAGATACGTGCTTACATGACCTGTTACGATACCTGATACGTGATGATAACGCTTTTCAGGAAATAGCATTGGATGTTTTTTTACACGTGTACTGGGAAGATCCTCGAATCCGGATTTTGGACAACACGAGCCAGGTGGAGCTGACTTGGGACAAAGATCCGAGATTCTGGATTCCCGACCTGTACATCAGGCAACTAAGAGAGATGAAGGTTCTCACGTTATTCCAGGACATAGCATCAATACGATTGTACAACAACAGTACTCTCAGGATTAGCATTGGGTAAGGAATGTAAAATTCAAAGGGAACTAAATGGTAACCCGAGTCTCTATATTATATTCTACAGAGCGACGATAATAATCAAATGTGACATGGACTTCGTACTATATCCGTTGGACGTACAGACTTGTGCTGTAGATTTCGGCAGCTGTAGGCTCATATATTTATTAATTTTTTTTTTTTTTACTCACATACAATATAATATGACGTATTTATTTTATAATATTATAATCGCATTGCTTTAAGGATTCTCCGAGAACACATTTTTTTGTTATCTCGGCGACGCCGTTTTCGATTTATTATCATGATGCTGTATAACATTTTTCTCATTTTTTCTCTCTCATTTCTGTTTTGTTCGATATATGTTAGACAAATATACGATGATGGACATGAAATTCCGATGGAGAGAAGATCCGCTGAGTTTTCCTAGCGACTTCGGCGATGGGTTCCGATTGCCTCGTTACGTCGTATCGTTTGTCACTGACAATCGATCGAATGTGATTTATTACGGAGACGGTAAGTTTAAAATGTGTTAACATACACTTTGCTTGTGTGCGTACTTTGTGTTCACATATATGTATGCAGAATCAATGATTCTTTGATTCGTGATGTGTTTCAATTGATTCCGGAAACCAGGACCGTATTTACAAAAATGTTCACCAGGGAAACATGAAATTTATTTCCCTAACCATAAGCATGCCTAAACAGATTGTAATAAAAGTTTTGTTAAATGTATATAAAATATCACTTCAAAATATAATCAGGTATACTACTTCTAATTTATTCATTTGTGTATTTTAACCTTTGGCTTAAGACCGTACAAATGGGTTTTCATACCGATAATTTATTAGCTCTTCTAATATTTTTCTTACACAAATCTAGTTTTCTTTTTAAACTGTGGCAAGCCTCTATACATGCTAACTATCGTATATCGAATAAACTTTTTACGGTTGATATACATTCAAATTCTATTTTTTGGTTATATTATTATTATAGTTATTTTTTTATTATACTGATTATATATTATTATGTTTTATAAAGAACTTTGATATTATTATACTCATTGGGTAAAATGAGCTACAAATACATTTTACATTTTTGATAATTTCACCTCCAAATCTAATTTTAATACTGCAGCCAGGGACAACAGCCCCTATGAGCCCTACCTTAAATACAGGCCTGCTAAAAACCCTTTTATATTCACCGAAGTATTTACACTGATAACGAAGAAAAAAACAAAACACGAACTTCTTGCGCTCTGTACCCCTTTATACAAAGTACACATTATAATCATTATCATAATTCTGTGTGTACATATATAATAATATACAATATAGGCGCCTATACAAGCACAGTTTATAGAGTAACTTGCAATAATAAAACGATTAAGGCTCGTGTTACAATTAATTAATGGATCAATTAGGCACGTATTACGCTCGAAACAAATTAATTTTCCGCATCATATTGTATGAGTGATGGGTGGTTAGATCAATGGAACGCGATGGTGGAGCACACATGTACATTGTAAGATACTACTACAGCAATGTTACACAATGCTATTATATGCTTTTGGACCAGTGTTTTAAGTACAACGTTCGTTTATTTTTACTCTTTAAACGCGCAAGATATGTATAAACATTCAAACGATTTATGCCACGCGTATATAATACTGTGTTTTTAGATATACAGGCATCATAAGCACGTGTGTAGGTAGAAAAAAAGTAATATACTTATATTGATACCGTGTCGAGTATATTATTGTTGTGCGTCGTGTGAAAACACAATTTTTGTTATACAATGCGTTAAAGAAATTACTCGCACCACCCCAGTGGGTATATGTTGGCAATATAATATTGTGCTTGTAAACTGCAGTAACGTGTTATTTTCCGAATATTTTTAAAGTCCATATTTTTAACGCACATACACGTGCACCCAGGGCCGACTTGAAGGCATTGCGAACTGTACCATGGCACAGAGCCCCGCACGTAAAAAGGCCCCCCCGGGCTGTTGGAATAAATCATTAATTTAATAAGTCGTGAACAGTTTGTCCGTGATATGCATCAAAACTCAAAAACACAAAACCGAATAAGGTCTATAAACGTCTATAAAAGTCAAGTTGACTAATACTTAACAGAATATGTTGTCCGGCTCTAATGACATATAAATACAGATAAATATAGGAATAAGAGACACACGCACGCTGTGTTTACCAGTAAACCATAGAGTATACATACATATATATATATATAAATATATATATATATATATATATATATATAATTTTGATTTATATTAATATAATATATATAATATATATTTGATATATATTATTATATCATACACTTATATAAATATACCTATATAATTTAATATTTGTTGACATAATTAATTTCCAATGGAAATCACATCTTCGTAACCTTGCAGTTTTTGTAATTATGGATGTTATTTATTTTTCTGGTACTTATTATCTCGTATATAATATTATATTGACGTTCAACACAATGACGAAAAAAAAATCTCAAGATAATTAATTTAATATATTATTTAATTTTTATAATTTAAGAAAATAAATCATTTAATAGAAAAAATTAAATATAATTGTTATTTTTGTGTCTTAAATACGTTTTACAAGGTCAAATAACACATTTCAGGCGGACGTTCCAAGTCTGCAAATAAGGTATATAAAAGTAAAGCATCAGGCGTATTATTATATTACAAAATTTAATGTATATTTTTCGAAATTCAAATATTAATTTAAAATTACATATATTTAACATCAATTCCTAAGCTATTGATCAATAAGAATTATTATGGTAGTGGTATAATTTTTTTTTTTTTGGAGGGGAACTCATGCACTTACCATAGTCTAGAGTTTAGCTATTCTAAAGTTGATACATCCTTAAAATATAAATATTTATTTTATAAAGCCATTGACATGTTGTAAATCAGAAAAATGAGACGTGTACGGGATACTCATGTACAAAGTACAAATCATAATACTTTTAGACCGGTTTGACGGCCCCCTCCCCCACGTTATTCTACTCTTTGGCAAAATAGCCCACTAACTCAACATTTTATTAAGAGTATGGTGAAGCCTTACTCTAGAAAAAAGCTGAAATGATGCCACTGAAAAAATTATTTGATTCACGTGGAGTGATAGAATAATAATCTAACGATACAAATTCTTTGATAGGCTGAAAGTCGGACCGTTTCTGGTACTCCAAAGTTAAACCTAAACACCTAGTAAATAGGCCCCGTAAAATATGTTCCCACATAGCTATAATATTCACCAAGCCGGCCCTGAGTGTACCCACTCGTTTCTTTGCGCCCATTGAGATAAACATAAACGTTTTAACGGCCGAAGCCACTCGAAACGCGTCCCCTATGGATATGCAACAAAGCAGCGTGAACTACCTTAGGAGAATATCGTCAATATAAAGAAATAAATGTGAAATTTAAATGTCTCGTCGTATAAATATATCGATTGTTCCTAAACGTTATGTATTTGCACAAGGAAACCATTCCACGGCCAGACTGGTGATTACGTTGAGCCGCGAACTAAGGAGTCACCTACTGGAGAGCTACTTACCGAGCACGCTGTTCGTCATCATGTCGTGGGGCAGCTTCGTGGTCATGCCCGAAGTCGTTCCGGGTAGAATGGTCCTACTGGTCACCACGTTGCTATCACTGGTCACCATGTTCGACACCATTAGGTACATTAATCGCACATAATATTAATTATAACGTACGTACATGTCGGTTAAAAAAAACCGAGTTTCAAGTAGTTTTCCCGAAGAAAAAAATTTAATTAACTAACAATATAGTACATATATTACTTACGAGTTATAATACATATATCAGTTGCAATGCAAATATTTACAAAAGCGGGATACGTAAAAATTATAATTAACATTTTTATTAATTTTGATTTTTTTTTCTTTTTTAATCTAAAAATATAATTTAAACTACCTCCTATATTGATCTCCTCAAATTTCGCCACTGATATATAATACTTTATACATATACTAAACGGTGCATACTCGTATTTATACGTGCGTATTTGATGAAATATTATCATGTACATACGCTAATCATATGAATTAAATTTTCAACTATATAAATTATGAGACAATTGTTTATAATTTAAATAATTACGAACTATAATAATACCTCGCAATGTCGTATGAATATTCCATTCGTTCGGAATTAGTCAAATAATATTTGCACATACTGAAGAACGTGCAAAAATAAAAAAAAGTATAAAATTAATTGTACTTATTCAAAATATTTTTGTTTAGCCTCGATGGCGAGTCTAGCCAAAGTGATAAAAATATTCCCAATTTCATAATATTATATTTTTTTTTATTTCGTTCACATTAAAATGTTATATTATGCACATTATCCACTTATGAATCGATGGATATCTTTTCATTAGAGCAAAAACAAATTTTTTTATTCAAATAATGTATGCAGTAGGGTACGCTGGTATTCGAAAAAATATTCTAATTTAAAACGTTTTCCGGAAAATTTATAATGTGTTCTATTTTAAGAGAGTGTGTTTATTAAACCGACTCAATTTCTTTACAATTAATGAGTTTTATATATTACAAGTATATCAGTAAAAAAAATAACATACAATTCGTTGAATTGTTTCACCTAATATAATGTTTTTCAACTGTTTGACCAAATTATTTATATTGCCTCATTTAAATATATTATACACATTTTTTTTCAACAAGAAATTACTAAAAAAAATTGATACAACAGAAAAATATATCGTAATATATAATTAAAACGATATAATAGAGTAAACAAACTAACTATTAGAGTGCACCATGCAATCGATTTTTGACTAATTTTGAAGTTCAGTTTAATATATTTTATTAATGCAGAACAACACTACTTAATAGACGTAGATTTAACAAACAAAAATTCAAAATATATTCCAAAATGTAAATTTCGATAAAATTATAATCTGGATTTTTAGAATACACGGTGTTTTTGCCTACGAGTGGAGCAATGCTAAAAAGTTAGTCAAAGTATAAAATTATAATTATTCTTAAGCGTTCAATTCGTAAATTATGACCCGTAGTTCCTAAATATATGAATGTATAATATACAGGCGTGCACAAAAGTATTGTATGTATGAATAATAGTAACAACCGAGAACTTATATCTGGTCACGAAATAAAAACGAATTGTATACAACTGTGAATCTATACCTTTACTGCTTAAAATATACTATCATGCATTTTTTTATTTTATAGTATGATGTTTTCATAAATGCCCAAATTAATGAAAATAATTAACTCGAGTAAGTTAAGAGAACACAAGATCGATAAATTAAAATTTAACAGTTAACAATTCATAAATTTAACTCGATAAGTTAAAAGTTAATAAGGAAAAAAAGGAGTAAACTCAACTCAGTTTAAAAATAGTTAATAATATTATTATTTTAATTTTTTAAAACCTAATTCAAAATAGATACGTAACAACTGATGAACTGTTTGATTCCGAATACGGAAGCTTTGTACACAAATACCGTATTTTAAAAACTGCAAATCGACAATATTTTAGGCACTTAAGTATTTTTAAATATGGTAACGGGGCTTTGTCTGTTTAAATTTCAACGGAGAACATAGGGCTTTTGAAACGCGACGTTCATATGATACACGTTTAAATATATAATAATAACATTACATATAGTTCCCGGAATACACGACGGGTAGGTGATCCCTGCAACGGGGCTTGCGTTTCGAAATGGAAAATTCAATACAGCAACACCTGTGATTAAAGTCTGAGCACGCCTGTATATACGTGTAACAATGTTTATCAACGTTGTGCCTCAGTAAATATAGAATACGCGTGTATTATACATACATGTAATTTAATATACCGACGTACAAAATAATATTGTACGCGTTCATTTCGCGTCGCGTCCTAGCCGATGCGGATCCGCAAAGCCCACGAAGTGTTTGAAAACCATATTATGCGATTTTTTTGAAAACAGAATTTTTCTCATGTAATTGCTTTGCGTTTTTTCGCGATGTTCAAAAGAGATTGTCGCGCGTCGCGACTTTTTTCACGCACATATTCTCTCGCGTGCCCACCGATTTCTCCGCAATCGACTATCGGACGTGGCAGCGTCAAAATCCTACGCATCCCTCGGCGTCGTTATTCGTCTTGGTAATCTATATAACCTTATAATCTTAGTAGATATTCTAACTGTATTGTTTATAGAATTTGACTTACCATTTACCAGTTTGGCGTGCGATCTAACGCGTTATCCGTTAGGTACATAAACCATTCCTAGTGCCCAGCTATTACCATACGCGTACATGGTGCTTGTTGTATATACGTAGATGCATAGTACAATTGATATTATTATAGTGCTTCGTTCCTTATCCGTTCGGTGTAACGTATAATAATATTGGCGCGCTGCCGCCATTGACTGCGAAGTAAATCTTTATTATAAACTCACGAGCACTCGGTTATGAGTACCATACTCACTCATTATGCGGCTTTTTACCGTATGCAATGCAATAGTCCAAGATAAAATATTTAAAGCACATTTGTCACATAAATACAACTGAGCTAAATAAATAAAAGATAAAAATAAATAACTGAATCAACTTCATACAAGGTTGTTCTTATACTACGATCAAAATGTTATAATAAAATATTATAATATAAAAGTGTCTACACTGCAGTATTTCTTAAATACAAATACCGTGTGGGCGAAGACTTTTTGGTTTTTTTTTTCTTCTCCCTGACCACGTAAACATTTCGCAAAGTGGTCAAAAAAAGAGAAAAATGGCCTAACTTAAATTTGACAAACCCTTATAAAATAAATTAACCGGCAGCATCTTCAAAAAGTCTTTATATATGTGGTAAAAATGTATACACACAGGATCGTCCCTACACTTTGCGGGGCTTAAGGCAATAATTTTTTCCGAGGTCTTTTTAAAAAAAAATCTATAAGCTACACTCTCAATCCACTGATGCCATTTTTATTCTTACATGATGATTAAGGATACATTTATAAACTTAAAATATGTTTTATTCTTTCAACGTTTTTCAAGTCCATTTTTATCGAAGTACCTTCTAAAAAATATAAACGAGTACCTACAAATGCATACATTTAATGTAGCTAACTAGAACAATCCAATTACAATATTGAAAATACTTATTATAAATCTCTAGATAAAAGTAAAAACACACATACACACACATATATATATATAAAATATAATAATTACATACATCATAATTTTCAAGAACAAACTAATATCACTACAACATAAATGTTTAGATTTATTTTCAGAAAACGATTAATCTATAATATCATATTCAATATTATAAGAAATTTTTTTTTTTTGAATACTAAAAAGCCAAATTTATAGTTTTTTTTTTTTTTTAATAAATTACTAGGAAGAGTTTTTTAATTTTAATTTTGGAAACGATAGTCGTATAAGCATAGGTGCAAATCTACTTAGTACTCCGGAACTCCCTACAAAAATTAACTCATAAGTGACCTGTTTATGGAATTATGATTTCATAATCCCCATAAATCACTAATACTCTGCCACATATTTAAAATAAATATTATAATAAACAAAAAATTATTATTGAATAAAATATGCACACATTTCATTAGTAAAATACATGAAAATATAAACTTACTTATAAATTATAATAGATAAATAATAAAATATAAACATTTATAATAGTATAACCATTGATTATTAACAGTATTATTGATAATCAATGGTATAAATAATGCGAATTAAAAAAAATTAAAAAGGTCATTTTTTCCGCTTTATAAAATATAAATTAAGTAATACTACGTAATATATATTTATAGTTGCATGAGCTTACTTTTTCTTTAAAAATGTTTTCAAAACAACTTCAATATCTATTTTTATGTCGTTTTCTAGAAAAATAACGGCTAAATCAATTTATCTAATTTGCCCCATAGAAGTCATCTTCCAAGTTTTAATACGGCACATGGCTAAAAAACTACTCACTCGAAGAAAAAAATATAAGCAAAACTAATGCAATTTTAAACAATGTATATAAATTTGGATAAATTAATTTTTCGATGATTTTTATTAAATCTTTCAAGTATTTATATAGTTTAGCTTATTCATAAGCATTCCTAGCAACAACCGTTTCAGAGAATAACGCATTCTAATCAAATGAAAAGAGAATCTAAAAATATATACAAAAAATAATTAAAAAAATCACCAACATTCATAAAAAAAATTAAAAAAACAATAAGTAAATTTCCTCATAAATGTTAGTGAAAGGCAGAGTTGGGCAAAAACAAATCAAAATAATGAATAAAAAATAAAAGCCTGAATAACTAATTTATTTATGAATAAAGAATAATTTTTTATTCTGAATAATTGTGGTGTACTGAATAAAGAATAAAATTATTCTAAATAGTTTTATTCGTTAATAAAACAATTATTCAGAATAAATTTATTCGTTAAATATAAAAGTATAATTTATTTATTTTTGTCAATTATTATATATATTAATATGTATTACCTTTATATATATTATTTAAGCCTAAATAATAAGTATATTATCACTCTACATCGTTATTTTGGATTTAAATTTATTATTTATATGATTATAGGGAATAACGAATAACTAAATAATGAATAAAATATAGTAAATAAAAATCTCCGAATAATGAATAACGAAT